ACTTCAGCCTATGCATATCTCACCTCATCCTATGCTCAGTATAGCTTACATAACACAATGTGATCAAATGTCAAGGCATTTAGCATTAAGTCTACTCCATTTAACACAATGCTGAGGACCCATTTAGTAGATAGCATGTCTGACTTGGGCAAGGGAGATCCAGATTTAAAATCTCACTCAGCTATGAAGTTCACTAAGTGACTTTGGGCTGCCATGATACTTTAGCCTCCTCCCATGTCAAGGAATTGTTTTGAGGACAAAAGGGAGCAGGGACCGTGAGTGTCACCAGCGGCTCCTTGGAGAAAGGGAATGGAATAAATAAATAACACATTTCCTTAGCAACTCTAAATGACTGCACTCACACCAAATTCTGAAAGGTACCTCCCCCGCATTTCAATTATTTAGCTTAATATTTTAGAAATGCGACCAAGTACTGCTTTAATCAAACTTATAGAACTGTCTCAAACAGTTGATCACTGCTGTCAATTTCTTGTCAAATTTGGAATGGGATTCCATTCTCCTAAGGAACCAGCAACCAATTTACAACACAGAACAGAACAGCTTAATCAATTACACAAGTAATTAGCTTCATTGCATTTTTTTATGTTATGATATACCAATTTTCATGCTTCCTGGATTCATCTATTTCAGGATTCCAATTTGTAAGTTCTACAAACTTGATTAACTACAAAATGCTTGGCTTCATAGTGGTACATTATTGTAAATAAAAGGTGGTTTGCTCACTTGGGAAGCAATTTTAAAATGATAAGTACTTGATGATGTATGGCCTATAAGCTGCTGAAAGATAATTGCATATAGTCAGCTGTTTGTAAATTCAACATTATTTAATTACACATAATTAGATTCTTTGTAAATGTAACATTGATAGTTGAATGTTGTCCTATTAAACTGATTGAAAGCACCTGCAATGTGTAATTAGCTTTTCCAACACCAAACTTTTACATACATACATATATATCCACACACACACAAATATGTTTGATAATTTAAAAGTACATTTATAAGTACATATATGAATTACATTCATGAAAGGAGAGGCAATGATGAACTGGAATGTATATGTAGGGGAAGAGTTGCTCTTTTTAGATTGGCCTGGAGGTTGCCAAGAGCAGTGCCTTCGATGGACCAGCACCATCAAGCTTTGATACTTTATTATTGGTGGCCACACCAATCTTGGAGCTTCCTTTTAGAAATCAGAAACAGAACATGGCCTGTCTAACTGAACAAGTACTCAATGATCAGGGACTCTAGAGGGTTATATTTTGGCTCATGTAGTTCTGCATGCTGTTTCCACAGTGACTATCCCAACACCTCTGAGAAAACTTCCAAGTAGAACACAAGGGCTGCTGCTGGTATCCTCGGCAACATGTATGCCACATCTGAACATGCAGATAGTGTGTGGGTATGTCTATGTTTTGTGCTTGGGGTGGGGTGGGGGAAGTGACCTCTGTTGATGTCAGAATGTAACAGTCAAAGTTCAAGGTCTTGTGCTGTGACAGGTTGTGAAAGGGAGATCATGTAATCATAGAATTATAGAGTTGGAAGAGACTGAAAGCGAGACATCAAGCCAAAATTCCTACAATGCAAGAATCACAACTAAATAATCCATGACATGACTGATGGTCATCCAACCTCTGCTTAGACACCTCCAATATGGAGGGTCTACCACCTTCCAAGGGAGTCCATTCCACTGGCAAACAGTTCTTACCGTCAGAAAGTTCTTCTTGAAGTTGGAATCTCCTTTCCCATAATTTGAATCCATTGGCATGAAGCAGCAGGAAACAAGCTTTCCATGTAAAAGGACCCCTGGATGGTTAAGTCCAATCAAGGGCAACTATGGGGTTGCAGCACTCATCTCGCTTTCAGGCTGAGGGAGCCGGCATTTGTCCACAGACAGCTTTCTGTGGGTCATGTGGCCAGCATGAAACTAGGGACATCCTACCATACCCCTCCAACTTTTCTCCAGTAAAAATAGGGACATCCTAGGGAAAAGCAGGACATTCTAGGATGAAATCAGAAACCGGGACAGCTTCTCTGTATCACGGATGTCCCTGGAAAATAGGGACACTTGGAGGAGCTGCTGTACCAGCACTGCATTGCTGGCTTTGGAGCAGATTCCCTGAAAGAGCTTGCAAGATCTTACCCAAATCTCATGAGATCTTTTGCTCTCCTTGATATCTTGCAAGACTTTGATGAAATCTCACAAGATCTTGCAGGAAATCAGCACCTACACTGGCACCGCTTCTCTGGCAGAGGTAGGGGCACAAATGGAGGCACTCATGAGGGTGCTCTTGTAAGAAAAACACTGGAACCTAATTTGAATAATAGACTGCTTGGTATCTAGTGGGACATTCAGTTTGCTGAATGTGCCAACCCCGACCAAGTGTTGTTTTAATGTAAATTTTAATCGCAACAAATGTGCACTCACCAAAGATGGAGTTTTGCATGCACAAGGTTTTGAAAATAATGGAGTCTTTGTGCTGGATACCAGTCAAGAAAGAGTGAATATGGTCAAGAAGAATTCAAGTGCAACCTGTGTTCATCTGTGGCACAAAAGGCTTGGCCATAGAGACTTCAGGATTATAGCAGACCTGCCAAAGAAAGGTTTGGTGAGAGTAATGGAAATTAAACCTTGTAAAGTTGACCTGAATAGTGGGGAAGGGAACAAGACCATCTATCTCGAAGCAAAACCAGGAAAAAAACGCTGAGTGTTTAAATAAGAAAGTTTTGGGAATTTACATGCTAAATTAATATTAATTCAAATTAGGCACATTGAGAAGGGGATTGTAAGAAAAACATTAGGGCCTAATTTGAATAGTAGAGTGCTTGGTATCTGGTGGGCGGGGCTTGTGTGCTCTGCTCCGGAATCAGCCCCTCCCTTCAGTGCATGTTCAGTTCTGTTCAGTTAGTTAAGAATGTCCATTAAGCGGGACCAACTGTCTCTTCTTGTTTCTTGCCTCAGACTTGCCTCCTGTTGCTGTACAGTGGTACCTCTGGTTACGAACTTAATTCGTTCCAGAGGTCCGTTCTTAACCTGAAACCGTTCTTAACCTGGTACTACTTTAGCTAATGGGGCCTCCCGCTGTCACTGCACTGCAATTTCTGTTCTCATCCTAAGGTGAAGTTCTTAACCTGAGGTACTACTTCCAAGTTAGCGTAGTCTGTAACATGAAGTGTTTGCAACCCGAGGTAACACTGTTAGTTAGTTTTTCTCATCATGTTATTTTGTTACAATTTTCTTTATTATTAAAGCTTAGTTTACATTTACGTGAGCCACTTATTTTTCACAAAGAAAAATTCATGGGTAGGCTGGCCTTGCCTGAGGTCATTATGGGCATGCACACTGGCATCTGCTTACCTGTTAAGCACACACCTTTAGTTAAAATAAAATAAAATACAAGTTTCTCAATCTACCAGCTTTGCACAAAACAGCAGCCATATGTATGTTTGTGTTTGTTGCTCCAAGCCAGGATACCTGAGATCCATAGGTATTTGTTCCCATGTGCACATACGTCTTTTGTGATTTACCATGCTTGCACAAAAGAGCAGTCCAAACATAAAAATACGGTAAGTGACGCCTCACTCCAAATTAGATAAGGATTTGGAGTTGTTCACATGAAAGGCTGCCAGTTGCTTCATTTCCGCCCCCATCTCCTCTATCCATGGGCGTAGCCAAGGGAGGGCAGGGGGGTCCACAAATCTTGTGGGAAAAGGCAGATTGCAGCCTTTTCCCATAAGGGAGACAGTACCCAGCAAAACATCACCACAGGCAGGGATTTTTTCATTGGAGACCCTGGGCGGAGTTGCAGGGGCAATCTCATCCATTATTTCCACACTGTGGCTCCAGACCAAATCATCTGTCAGGAGAGCTACGGCCTGGCCAGGACAGCTTTCCCCGTTATACCTTCTGGGCTTGACGAGGCATGTGATCCCTACCTGTCTCCAGTTGAGGAATCACACACCCACTCCCCAAACTAGCGAGCTCCACCTAGGCTGTGGGTCCTTGCCTACCCTCCCTCAGAACTGCCTGCCCTCAGATTTTTTGATCAATTTTGTAGGTACTCTTTTGATGGCAGAGTACAAGAATTCACCTTTTTGAGCGTTTGAGATACCATAGTTGTTTGAGATATCACCCTAAACAAGAGATTCCAGTGATTCCAACAGCTTACTGCAGGGAAGGCTAACCCTTTTCAGACTAAGTGCCACAATGACCCATGGTCAACCCCCTGGAGGCTGCATATTGAACTAGCAAGGATGTTATAAAGTCCAGGCTGCCTTCTAATAGTCCAAACATGGCCAAACTTGGCCCTCCAGCTGTTTTGGGACTACAAATCCCATCATCCCTGACCACTGGTTCTGTTAGCTAGAGACGATGGGAGTTGTAGTCCTAAAACAGCTAGAGGGCCACGTTTGGCTATGCCTGCAATAGTCCATGCCCTAGCCATCCCTAGCTTAGTGTTTTTGATAAAGATCAATGCTAAGGAAAATGAATAATGGGATTTCACCCAAAAAGATATGCAGGCCCTGCAAACGTGTGTAGACCATGCGATACCAAGGAGGGTTGGGTGTTCTTGAGCCTTAAGTATCAGCAGCAATGTGTATTTGAGATGGGAAAGAAACGCTGCAAGAATTCAAACCACAGAAAGGTGCCAACTACTATGAGACACCTCTGAAGTCAAAATCACAGGGTCATTCAATTTAACAAAATTGGTGAGCTACATACTTCATTTTTCAGGGTAAGTCAGCCTACTGATTCTTCTCTATTGTCCAGAGGCTACTTCTGTTTCTGCCAGTAATGCTTTATGTGGTATCCTGTATACAGTATACTTGCCCTTCCCTTTGCCAAAGGATTTATATGATTCTGCTCCTTCCTGTGCACAGAAAGACATAGGCAGAATGTTAGCCTGTCTTCAGACAGATTTACAAAATTTTAATATAAATGTAAGAGAATTGTTTTAACAGTAAAGAATAGAAACCACAGCATTTAAAAGGTGTTTTTATTAGCCATTTGAAACATCATTGGAATAAAACAGCCTCATTAAAGATACATTATTATTTATCTGACATGAGAACTATTTCATTATGTGTCGGTAAGTTGGTGGAGAATTATCTTAGCAACTCACTTCTGCTTCCACAGGAGCTATATTTTCTCTTACAAAAATATAGATTTATAAAGCTTTCCATAATTATAAGCAAAACCCCACATAAAAAAATGGGTCTTCCATCTTTTTTCTGTTTTTTGGACATGAACACCAATATAAATTAATGAATTACCCAATGACATGGACAAAAAGTTCTGGCTGGTATGTTCTGGAACTTTAAAAAATGAAATATGCAGAAGTATATATAAAAAAGGCCCCACAAACCCAATAGTTCGTCAAGTTTAATAACCAAGTGCTGAAGCAGGATGTTTAAATAAATAATAGATATTTAAAGGATTGTAAGCCAGGTATCGTAAGGGTGTTTTATCATTATTATTTTGCTATGCTTACTTTACTTAAATAGTTGGACACTGAAATCAAACTGTAAATGTAGATCGTTGTCAGCTGAGTCTGCCAGACACCAAAAATGGTTTGACAGCTGACAGCTGACAGCAGTCTGCTTGAATGCTATAAACTGTAGGCCTTGTTTCTAGCAGGCTATCAAAACACCATTTTAACCTTTAATTTCCCCATATATCAAGGGCAAAATGAAAAGAAATCCCTTTGGTATGATGTCATATTGTGAAAACTCTTGTTAGGATTGGATTCAAAGAACCGTAAGGAAAAGAAGTGGCAATGCAATATTGCAAAGGGCTTGCAGCTCATTGCAATGCTATAGTGTAGTAGGGAGGGTCTATGGCAGGCATAGGCAAACTTGGCCCTCCAGATATTTTGGGACTACAACTCCCATCATCCCTGACCACTGGTCCTGTAAGCTAGGAATGATGGGAGTTGTAGTTCCAAAACATCTGGAGAGCCGAGTTTCTCTATGCCTGGTCTATGGTGTTTTTCATGATTCAGTTTATGCAGAAGGCTCTTGTGCAAAAAGATGAACAGTTTTGGATTTACTTTCACTTTTATACTTTACGCCACTGATGTGGGCTATATAACAGCCCTTCTGAGTGGAAGAATTTTTCTGCAGATGGATGGGCACATTTGTATCCAATCCATAATCATATATAATATTTTCTGCCATGATACATGGAACGTCATTGGTAACTTGCTTCTTCACACAAAACCTGCATTTCCTAATTGATCATTTAACTGTTTCTAACAGCAGGTTTGTACTGCAATAAATTTAATTCTTACTACAGACAAGTCATATTGCAGCAACAGTTTGAAACAGTAACAAAAGGCATCTTTGGTCTTTATAAATATTGTGGAACATTCATCTTAAAACATAAATACAAAAATATTGGCATCATGAAGAGTGTAAAAAGTAACAACGCCTAAATATTCCAGGCTGACCTGTAACCCTCCATTCTGAAGGTGCTTTAAGAAGACTGTACTAAGGATATCCTGAGCCTATTTAAATAAACCAGATGCACCAATTAAATACCTTCCTCTTGCTTGCATGTTTAGGATTACCGTAAAAATCCCCAGTATAATTTAACACTTACACAGTTAAGTCATCTAATCAATATAGGACTGGTCCTTTTGTTACCAAAGACATAAATCACCAGGTAATTCTGAATGTCCTAGAACATTTATAGAGTGTGGCAGTTTAAGATAGATATTTCACTCCTTCATTGTTCCTTGTGAGTTTGTATAACCCCTTCCCGCCATTCACAATTTAAGTTCACATTATTGAGCGTACTGAGATTCCCAAAATACTTTTAGAGTTGAATCTTGATGGCACCACACCTCAACAGTGGAAGTACTGTTGTCATTTTCAACCAAGATATGGTTTTTGCACACTAATTGCCTTCTTCTAACTGATTTACCTGTTAAGCAGATGGAAAATAAATTATTAGAATGTGTTGTTGTTTTTTCTACTGTTATCTAATTATTATTAGTCACTATTATTATTAATCACATATAATACCTAACATTTTCTAAGCGCTATACAGGGATTAAAAGAGAACATAGTATCTGCCTGAAGGCTCACAATCTTAGCAAGACACAAAAGGAAAGGGGCAAGAAGAGAAAAACAAGAAAATTATGGTACCAAATCTTGAATCTCAGCAATATTATCTATATTGGTAGGTCTCTTGCTTTCAAGAGCTCATTACACACAGAATCCAGTAGCCCTGACAGATAACATGGCAGAGAGCAAAGCATGTTTCCCATTCGGTATGTTGTCCTAGAACAATTGGAGCAGTGTGACAAATTATAAATAACTCTGCTTCTATAAAATGGTAAAGGGACCCCTGACAATTAGGTCCAGTCATGGCCGACTCTGGGGTTGGGCGCTCATCTCGCTTTATTGGCCGAGGGAGCTGACATACAGCTTCCGGGACATGTGGCCAGCATGACTAAGCTGCTTCTGGCAAACCAGAGCAGTGCATGGAAATGCCGTTTACCTTCCCGCCAGAGCGGTACCTATTTATCTACTTGCAACCAACTGCTAGGTTGGCAGGAGCAGGGACTGAGCAATGGGAGCTCACCCCGTTGTGGGGATTCGATCCGCCAAGCTTCTGATCAGCAAGTCCTAGGCTCTGTGGTTTAACCCACAGCGCCACCCGCGTCCCTCTGCTTCTATAGGGCTACGTAAAGTGATTTTTAAATGTGTTTTTTAGAAATGCCTTTGCAAAAAATAATATGCTAAATGCTCCAACAAAATTTCAATTGAATCTAACTATTTCAAGTGTTTCAGTTACATGAGCATTTAAATACAGTCGTACCTTGGATCCCGAACGCATTGCAAGTCAAACATTTCAGCTCCCGAACGCCGCAAACCCGAAAGTGAGTGTTCCAGTTTGAGACTGTTCTTTGGAATCCAAACATCTGGCACAGCTTACGCGGCTTCCGATTGGCTGCAGCAGCTTCCTGCTGCCAATCAGAAGCCGCGCTTTGGTTTCCAAATGTTTTGGAAGTCAAACAGACTTCTGGAATGGATTCCGTTTGACTTCCAAGGTACGACTGTACTGAAAAAGTTACCTGACAAATTTTGCCACAGCTAATAGCTACATATGTCAAATAGAAATAATTTACTTGTGCAATGCATGTTCTTTAAGAATTAGCAATTGTATATTTCTCATCTGAAAACCTTGACTGAAGACTTTGAAATGTTCTATAGATTTAAAGAGTTTACATTAAATAACTGTAATCCCCAAATGCCACTGCTATTATGGAATCAGAATTACATTTCTTTTTAAAGTGGCAATGGCAATTTTGCTGAAACTTATCCATGACAACCACTAAAACAGACAAAACTAAGACAACCATTTCCATAGTTTTATTTGCCATATGTCTGTTGCTATAGGAAAATATTCCAGATGGCTTCCATAATGATGGAATGAGAAATATGAAACCAGGAGCTCTTCCTGATACCACACATTAAATAGCCAATCAGTCACAGCATGACTAAGTAAAAGCAAGCAAGGAGAGGAGTGAATGAGATAACACAGAAACTCTGCTAAGAACATCATTTCCTATACACAAATAAAAAACAGATTACATCCAACATTTGGAGAATTCTTTCTCATTAGACATTGAAAAAAAATATTAAGTATGTACATTTGAGAAATAAGGAGAAGGGGGGAAATACTCTCAGATTTCAAATAAATTAGAGACTTTCTAGATTCTAATAGGGACAGAGGTTACTTCAGAAATTTTTAAAAAAATCATTTTTACTCTGCCTTTTTGTTTTTAAGTATTTGGTAGGTAGGTGTCTGCAAATCATCAATGGTCTCTGCAATGGGTTTATTCACAGTTTCTGGTAGTAGAAGAGTAAGGAAACCAGCTGACAATCCACTGATTCCAAAGACCACAAATGGTACAGATGGGCCAAGGGATTTCTAGAAGAAATTAGTAATAAATTCATAATTGATACACACACACTTACACAAGTTACTGAAGAACAAATACCAACAAATCTATTACCCACTCAGTTCATATGCATATTCCCAAGACAGTCATTTGAAAAAAAATATAATTGTATATATACAGATCCCTATAGGTTATACAGTAATAATAATAATAATAATAATAATAATAATAATAATAATTCAAAGACAGCTCACTTTAAGTCCTGTTATCAATGGGTTGTATCCAATGCTAGTCCTACTCAGAGTAGACCTACTAAAATTTACAGCTGTGGTTAACATTGTTTCTTAATTTCAACTGATCTACAGTGTGTATAACTTAGTTGGATACAACTCAATACCTTTTTGACGTGCTAAAGTACTGTTGTTGAAGACACTTATATTCTACTTCTGCTGAAGAAAATGGACTGTGCTAAAATATTTTCAGTCCATAGAAGGCAACCTACCATTTACTAGGAAAGTGCAAAAGTATGGTCATATCAGCTATGGCCATGGATAACTATAGCATATGTATCCCTGCTTCATTTAGTGTTAAATATCGTGTGTGTAATGCAATACAATGGAGGGAAGTAAAGTCGTATTACTTACCAGGGAAGGGACAAATGGAGCCAAAATACCACCAAATCTACAAGTCATTGAACATACACCTAAGCCAGCATTTCTGTTTTAAAAAGAGAATTTGTGTTAAGTATCTGCAAAATATTTGCCTGAGAAGAAGGGATCAACACTGAAACCTTTTAATTTTGTTAAACAGTTTATGCATAACACGACTGTTGTGCTGAAATAATCATGTAATCTTTACCCCCATCAAAAAAAATTACAATGTATTACAATACTGGTTATCTTGTTATATTAGTTTCCATACAATTTCTAATCATCATACTGTGTAACCTGGAAAAAAGCAAGGTGAATTTTAGAAAATGACATCTTACCACTAGGTGGTGATAAAACACCATTTTTGAATTTCTCCATAGTTTGTAAAGCACATTTTTACTAAATGATACTGTTATAGGTTTGGGGTGGGACCCGCCCCCCCAAAACCCTGGAAATTCATAAATGGTAGGATTTTGATTATTTGTGCTATGAATGAAAATAACAAGCTGCAGAACTGTGCCAGACAAGGAATCCCTGGGTTGGCTTGTGCCAGGGGCTGGCAAGGTTCACCTCGCCTGGGCTGGTTCACTCCAGCAGAGATCCCTCTGTGGGCCAGATCTCGCACGCCTGTGATTTCCGGCGCCCGCGTGGGGACTCGCCAAGCAGGTGGCTTGGTTCGGGGGCGGCTTGCGGGCCAGTTAAACAACCCCCGTGGGCCACTTGTGGCCCATGGGCCTTAGGCTGCAGACCCCTGGCTTATGCAAACCAGCCTGGCCCTGCTAGTGAAGAATCATAGAAATCATAGAAACATAGAGTTGGAATAAACCACAAGGGCCATCGAGTCCAACCCCCTGCCAAGCAGGAAACACCAGCAGAGCACTCCTGACATATGGTTGTCAAGCCTCTGCTTAAAGACCTCCAAAGAAGGAGACTCCACCACACTCCTTGGCAGCAAATTCCACTGTAGAACAGCTCTTACAGTCAGGAAGTTCTTCCTAATGTTTAGGTGGAATCTTCTTTCTTGTAGTTTGGATCCATTGCTCCGTGTCCGCTTCTCTGGAGCAGCAGAAAACAACCTTTCTCCCTCCTCTATATGACATCCTTTTATATATTTGAACATGGCTATCATATCACCCCTTCACCTCCTCTTCTCCAGGCTAAACATGCCCAGCTCCCTTAGCCGTTCCTCATAAGGCATCGTTTCCAGGCCTTTGACCATTTTGGTTGCCCTCCTCTGGACACGTTCGAGTTTGTCAGTGTCCTTCTTGAACTGTGGTGCCCAGAACTGGACACAGTACTCCAGATGAGAACAAATCCATTAACATGACAAAAGGTGTTGATTGCCCATCTAATTGGAATCCTTGGTCCTGGGCAGACAGAGATTGCTAAAGTGTACTGGTGGTGCTGTGGATTAAACCACAGAGGCTAGGACTTGCCGATCAGAAGGTTGGCGGTTCAAATCCCCGCGACGGGATGAGCTCCCGTTGCTCGGTCTCTGCTCCTGCCAACCTAGCAGTTTGAAAGCACGTCAAAGTGCAAGTAGATAAATAGGCACCGCTCCGGCGGAAAGGTAAACGCCGTTTCCGTGCGCTGCTCTGGTTCGCCAGAAGCGGCTTAGTCATGCTGGCCACATGACCAGGAAGCTGTACTCCGGCTCCCTCAGCCACTAAAGCGAGATGAGCGCCGCAACCCCAGAGTCGTCTGCGACTGGACCTAATGGTCAGGGGTCCCTTTACCTTTACCTTTTACTGGAAAGTGGAAGGGAGAGAACAAGGACATAGATCCCCCTTGGGCAAGCTGGCTGAAGGGAGGCTGGGAGAGATGTCTTGGATTCCAGTGCTGCACTGTTGTGGGGAACATGTCCCTCTTGAGATGACATTGCTATAAGATCTAGACTCCCTCTATCCAAACTCAGGTGTAAATACATGAATAAATCATACTTCTTAAAGCTCTGACAATCTCCACCACATCTTCAATTCTCTAAAGGAGCACAGACCCTGGAATCCCAGGCATGCCTTGGCAGGGACTGGGGTGGCCGGTAACAATTCAAATGTTTAAGCAGAGAAATGTATTCAAGCATGCAATATTGTTTCAAATGCGATCAGCTGATCACATATGGGATCCTTAAAAAGCAGTATATATGAATCATTTTGTCCCAGAAAGACTTGAAATGTGGAGAAATCTCCATGATTTAAAACATTCAAGCCTCTAAACATGTAACTCAGGAACAGGAATGCTAATGCTGGCACACCTGTAGCTTGTAAGCTGAATGCACTTGCTGATGAGGTTTCATTTCTTTGCGCATGATATCTCTTGTTATATGAGAATCGTATGGGATTTGAAGCCAACATTTTTTTTAAAATACAAAAAGAAAATTGTTTACCTCACTACTGTTGGGTAGAGTTCTGAAGTGTAAATATATACGATGTTGAAAGCAGCACTTACAGTCAATTTCCCATATAAAGCTAAGATGTTGGGACTGAATAAAAATCCTAAAACAGAGTTTGAAAGAAATGTGTTACCATTATCAGCTCCACCTTCCCCCATTAAGTAAAATGACACACAAAGGCAAAGTTCTGATTTGGCCATATTTGGAGAAGATTCCACTGAAAACAAGGAAATTGTTTCAAGGACATTTGTATTTAAGTTCAAGTGGCAGATTCTAGCTTGTGTCAGAAGTTCTCTTTTTACAAAACATTAAAATACTGCATGCACTTGCTTTCATGCCTTTTGATGAGATGAATTATGTGTGTGTAATGTTTACTTAGGGACATGGGTGGCACTGTGGGTTAAACTACAGAGCCTAGGACTTGCCGATCAAAAGGTTGGCGGTTCGAATCCCTGCGATGGGGTGAGCTCCCGTTGCTCGGTCCCTGCTCCTGCCAACCTAGCAGTTCGAAAGCACGTCAAAGTGCAAGTAGATAAATAGGTACCACTCCGGTGGGAAGATAAACGGTGTTTCTGTGCACTGCTCTGGTTCGCCAGAAGCGGCTTAGTCATGCTGGCCACATGACCTGGAAGCTGTACGCCGGCTCCCTCGGCCAATAAAGTGAGATGAGCGCCGCAACCCCAGAGTCGGTCACAACTGGACCTAATGGTCAGGGGCCCCTTTACCTTTACCTTTAATGTTTACTTAGAAAAGGACATATACTCACCACCTCTATTTTCTGGTAGGAACATGGTGAATATACAGGCAAGGCCTGAAAATATCAAAAAAGCAGTTGTACTTTTACGTCTTCCTGACCTAAAGAGAAAATGTAGCAGAAATGATATTATATTTTCTGTTAAGGATCAACTATACAAGTAAAGGAAAGCCAAAGATGCCAAAGGGCGGAAATAAATAAATAAATCTTACCATGATTTTTCAATGAAGAACATGCAGAGTGGAAATGCTGGAACTTCTACCAGGCCAGAAAGAGCTACATTTAGATATAGGTTTCCTCCCAATTCTCCGGCATTCAGCGTTAAGCCATAATAGACAAGGCTGCATACATACCTAAATGTATCAATTAAAGGTTGATCAGCTAATGCAGATCCTTAAATGTCAGGGATGTATGCAACAGTAACCTTTATCTTTGTACTATATAAAGAATATGTACACAACAGAAGAAAGCATACAACAATGCTACATGTACAAGTTATAACAGCAAGGACCAAAACAGAACTCCACCTGAGATTTTGCTAGTTGTCCGATTACGTTACGTTACGTTACGTTATTTTACCATTTGTGGTGCAATTCCTGTTCAGGTGCATTTCAAATACACCAATAAGGTAATTGTGCCATAAACAACAAATTTAGACAACTGGATTAAGATTCTGTTGAAACCATCAAAACCTCAATCACACCAACTTTCATTTCAACTAGATACAGAAAGATCAAAATCAAATTAGAATATAGGCAGCTCAACTTCTTTTCTTTCTCAATCCCTAAAAGAACCAGAGAAAGAAAATTTCTCTGCATGTACACCGCAAGTGATTATTTTGCACCTGGTTCCGACTGTATCAACATCCAGTATAATCTTTAGTACAAAAGACTTTAGGGAGACCCCAAACCTACAGTAATAAAACAAAGCCAACTCATATGAAGCAGTCCATCAAGAAATAATGAATACTGTATAGTAGTTATTTCAGTTGTAACCTTCTTTGTGGAGTGATAACCTTAAAAAATAAATTTGCTTTTTTTAAAAAAAAATGGACCTTGTGCTCTTAAATCCCCCCTAGACACACATTCATACACACTTCTAAATGGAATTCATAATAATAGTTCCGTTATTATACTTCTCATAATGATTATCTCTTTAAGCATTATACCACAGAAGCTTATGGCTTTGAAACTTAGAAAAAGAAAGAAACAAAAACTTCAACTCTGCTCTGGAGGCAGAAGAGGCAGAATCAAAAAAATAATGCCTCACTACTCAGAAAAACTCATAGCTCTTTCCAAATATTTATCTACTTTTGGAAACATCAGGTAATTTTGAAGTTGTTCCAATGAGGCATCAACAGAATAACATTTTTTCCAAACAGCCCAAAGTTTGCTATTTTGTGTGTGCAACTAATTCATGTACCCTAAGAAGCTCTTTTTATTAATTACCAAATATACATCAAGATGACAGTGCGCCACCGAAGGACTGGATGTTTAATGAGGCTTCGGACACCAGAAGCTGAATCATCCTTTTTTACTGCTCCTGTGCATTGCTTCAGTTTCACAGACAATCTTTCTTTCCCATTACCAAGGGCTATGTATTGTAGCACATTCTCTGCTTCTGTTGTCTTCCCTTGGGAGTATAACCATCTTGGTGATTCTGGAAGCATGCTGTAAAGAGAAACATTCAAACCGAGATGCCATGGATAATTATTTTGGGGTTTTTTTAATCTGTATATTAACACAACTATCTTTTCATTAGATCATCATATATTACTAGCCTTTCAAAGCTTGACAAAATCTATCAGAAAGCAGGTAAAAATAGTGTATGCTAGTGATCTGCAGTCTTTTAAAATTATGAATCTGCAAACCAATGTGAGATTAGCCAAATTTATCAAAATATTTTAACCATCCTGGTACAGAATGACAACAAACAAGATTACTTCCAGTTCTCTGGCTCCCAAATTAGCAAAGCCACAACATTATTTATATATCCACCCATTATGGTTATATATATAAATTATTTTCATGAATCTGTAAAAGTACAAAAACTGTTCAGTCATTCAATTCTAATAAAGCTATACTGCATGTGCAAACACTGCCAAGCTTGACTTCCATGCATACAAAGGGGTGTTTGTGAGAATCACAACCTGCTGGATTTTTCTTCTGATTACTGTATATTGTTCCATAAGCAATATGTAAGCATTTGATTATGGACAGCAAAACAAAAAACCCCCAAGTTCCTCTAACTTATTTTACTTAGAACACAAGTCATTTCAAAATTCTACCTTTACTAGTCTGCTCTCCAGTAATAATACTTTATTTCTGGTTTGCAAGTTATATAACATACACAAAACATTACTTACAAAGAGAGGAGGAGAAAGAAAAGTCCTGGAGAATTGGATACGAAGGCAAGGAAACGCCACTCTCTTATGTAATAACCCAATAATGCAAAAATTGCTATGCCAACCGCAAATGTCAAATTTGTTAATGAACCTGAAAATAGAAAAAAGCAAGAGGTTTCATTAACTATGGCTATAAGTCTCTCCACATAGAAAGTATACATACAGGGTGACCCAAAAGTAAGTATACAGTTGAATCAATGAAATTCATCACAACAGATTATATGGGTACACATAACTGACATACAACAAAGTGGCAGTTAAATTTCAGGCTGGCAGTTGGAAAGAATAGTGGAGTCAGATAAAAGGATTATTGTGAATGATAGCAGTGAATTTGAGTCAAGAACAAAGAAAGTGGATTCTAAAGCAGCCTACCTCCTTTTGGGCCAACCTGTTGTTATAAGAATTTAAGGTCTCATATATATAAATTAAATGTTCATAAATTCACAAGGCAAACACATACATAAGTATATAAACCACACGTCTGAAATAGTACAGGAGAGCAATCCTGAAACCATTTTGACTCTCCCAAATTGACCTCAAATGTTTCTCTGCAAGGAGGAAGGAAATGGGAAAGCCTCTCCATTGTCTTCTGCTTACCTGTCTTTAGGGAATCTTTGTGTATTAATAGGGTGAGCCTATTAATTCAGGAATTAAAGTATTTACCATCACAAAAGAATGGTCTGGCTGCCCAAGTAAGCAATCGCTGGCCATTGTCAGGTATCCTGGCAGACAGGATTTCTGTTGTAGACTGCCTCCTTCTGTGATGTATGTATGATGTTTTTTGGGGTGGTCTTGAGCTACAGGGTGGGCAATTTCAAAAGTCTATATAAGGGCTTGCACACCATTGTTCTGGATTCCTCCTCCCTCCTGCATGTGGTGAGTGAGCACCCTGTTGCAACAGTTTAATAAAGATTAGGCTTACTAGTGCTTTGCTTCTCAATATTCTCTGGTTGGCCTCTGTTATTTTCTCCTAACAATAGGGAACCCACTTAAGGACTCTGTGCGGGCTCTTGTATGCCCCGCAAGGGAAAAGGAGCAGATTTTTTCTACATGACTGTATAATAAGACCATAATTTATAAACCCTTACTAATGAGAAGTGCAACACTGTTTAGTTACTTTATGCATGTTTGAGCCTGTAAGCTAAAAGACCTGAAACACCTTTGTGGACTTTGCCAATTGGAAACCAACTCAAACATTTAGGAAATAAAATTTAGTATTTGAATCAAGTACAATAAAACTATCTTAACTACATACTCTAACCTTCTTGAATCTTAGGCAAGCTAGCAAGCCACAGCAAACTTACTTTAAGAAAATAGATCCCAATTGTTTAAGAATACTTTTTGAAATTCAAGGATCTAAAGTGAGTAAAATGAAAAACAAACAGCAGACATGAACTGAAAAAAAGATGAAGAAGAGAAGAGTTTAGATTTGATATCCCACTTTATCACTACCCGAAGGAGTCTCAAAGCGACTAACATTCTCCTTTCCCTTCCTCCCCCACAACAAACACTCTGTGAGGTGAGTGGGGCTGAGAGACTTCAAAGAAGTGTGACTAGCCAAGCAGCTGCATGTGGAGGAGCGGGGAAGCGAACCCCGTTCACCAGATTACGCGTCCATTGCTCCTAACCACTACACCACACTGGCAAGAAAATGTTGTAACTGATGTATCTCAGCATAATCTAAAATATAATCCAGAATAGAGATGGGAACTACATAAATTATGTAGGCAATGGGCCGAAAGCCATTTTCAAAAATATTAACATTTCAAACTGAACTATTTATTTATTTGGGAGGGGGAAGGGAGAATCCCACCAATTTCAATACACTTTACTCGAAGACTGCAATCTTATGCACCCTTACATTAAACACCTCTAAAGACAGTGGAACCTTGTTCCAAGTAAACATGCTTAAGATTGTGCTGCGAGTCGCCACCTTACTATGACTGCAACCTTAATCTATATGCTACTTGGGCTTTCAGAATTTTCTAAACGATCTGTCCGTCAAGGGAATTGTGGATTAACAAAAAGCTTGGCAATCTATTTTACGTATTATTAATTGCACTAGTTACCAATAAGATCAGTTCACAACTGCAGTTCAAAACCTGTAGCTTACAGAGTCTCAGATGCTGCTGTCATGACAACACACACATCATCAACACTGTTGTGAAAGGCAATGATCAAGGCAGGAAGGTCTGAAGTGGGAAGCATTCTCTACACATGTAGGCTTGCTGCACCATTCAGAACTCTGATCCTGAAGGGTTTATAATGACATGGGGAGGCCTAAACATGTAGAGCAGGCTCCCATCTTCAGACTCCTGCTGAAGTTGATGCCGGGTGGAAATAAGGATGTAACAGCAGGCGCAGGGCAAGTGAATGCTGTTCCCTCCACATGATGATAATGGGACAAGGACAGAATGCCTATAGGGCTGGAGGGTTTGGGCAAATTCCACTGGAAAGAGAAATACACAGAGAAAAGCACTGAAGTCTAGTGGCTGTGTTCGATCTATGAAAGCCCATTCTTCACAAAGTACAAGTTATCACTTGTCCTCAGTGATAAACTAGCCTTCTGACATATGGTTAGTTCAGTGGTGCTAAACAAGAGTGTTTGGATTATGATCCTGCCTGAGGACAGCATTTTAAAATAATTCTATGCAGTGCCTAACTGTCACAGGCAGGACAACATTCAAGAAAGAAAATGAAAAGGTCATAAAGGCTTCCCTGACTGCTCTAACATTCCTGCTGAAAACCAAAATGGGGGTGTGAGGAATTAAGAGTTGCTCAGTCTCCCCCAAGACACAAATTTAACATCATGTGTGGTTTAAGGGGCAGGAAAGTCTCATTCAAACACTAAGAATCATTACTTGAAGAAGGAAGACTGGGTGGAGGGAGAGAAAAGAAAAAGAAACCCACAGCAGAAATTTATGGGGGGGGGAAGTGGGAATGTGCTTCTGCCAGTGCTTAAGTTTTTGAGCAATAGAATTAGGAGTATTGAAAGCAAAGAAGCAAAATATCTATCGTAAAGAAAAAAGGCCTGTCATAAAATTATTGACTGAACAAATTCAGTGTTGTATCCACCTAAATAGATGCCCTGAAATTAATGAATCTAAGCTAGTCATAGCCATTATTTCCAATGGGTTTACTCTGAGTAGGACACAACTGGCAGAAAGCCCCAAACACAAAGTCTTAAAATTTTACAGTTTTTAGTAACTGGTTCTACAGAATCACAGAATCAAATTCCCATCAGAAATAAAGACCTACTAAATATATATATATATATTTGCCAGAATTTTAGGAACTGCATTTTTTTTTTAGCAGACTGAATCAAATTCTCATCTCTTACCTGTCAGTGCCCAAAAGGATTTTCCTACATATTCTTGTGTCAAAACAAAAGACACTAGAGACATACCACCATTTGTAATTCCAACGAAAAAGCGCGACATTGCAAAAATGTCATAGTTTGGAGCAAATGCTGAAACATACCCAAAAATGACATCTAAGAAAAGACCTGCACAAAACATATAATGGGTAAAAAAAATATTAGTTTTGTGGTGCAATCCTACATATGTCTCCTAAGAAGTAAGTCCCATTGAGTATGTATAGGATTGCAGTTTTCAATGAAGAAAAAATAAGGTGAAAGGAGAAATAATAACTTCCCCCCCACCAAAGGTGAAAACTTAGCTCCACTGAAATAGATCATACTGTACTTCTAGTATCTTAAAACATCAAGAGACAAATTATGCATACACACATAAGTTGACAGTACCCCAAATTAAGATTTATTGTTTAGAAATAATCAAATATGCTATATTTATAAGAGGTTGTAGCTACCACTTAACCCCAAAGTCTTCCTACTAAGTTATTTTTGTATGGACATAAATGTATGTTACTTGCAAATGTGTTAGCAATATCTAAAATGTCAAAGGTGTCCAAATGGAAATCTGTGGATGCTCCTTCTACAAGACAACACTGCAATCCTGTGCATGTTTACTTGGAGCAGAGGGTTGCCAACCTGGCACCTGACTGAGCATTCATTAAAAAAAGAGAAGTTTCTAGCCCTCATTCCCCCTGAAAGAAAATTATGAAGCCTGGCTGCTCCTTCCTGTGAAATCAGAGTTGTGATTGATGAGTGAGTTGTTTGGATACCAAGCAGCAGGAATCCCATGTGTCCTACAGGGCTACACTTTCCCTTTAATGCACTTTGCCTGTTTCTTATTTTCTAGTCCTTAGATCCACACATTTGCCGCTCTATTTTTCTATTTGTTTGTTTTGCTGCCTCACAGCTATGTGAAGCATTCAACAGGCAGCTACTTCAGAGGCTTTCAAATCTGTGCTGAAGTAGAGGAAGTGTGGCAATCACCTGTCACTTGTTTTGCTGCCTGTTGGTCCCACGGATCAGGCAGCTGCAGGAGAGGGGTCTCAGCTGAATATTGGGAGGCAGGATACGGCAACCCTTTTTATTATTATTATTATTATTTTGCTTCTTCTGAATGCTCTACAGCAAGGACTGTTCCATAATTGTTGTTGGGAGGGTCTCCTCACAAGCTGGAGGCAGAGCAGAACTTTGCTGAGGCTCTTCAACCTCCCGGTTAACAGCTGATGTACCGGAAAGCAGCAGATACTGAGGCCTGAGGCTGCTCAGCTGATGCATGGGAAACATCCCCGCACATCAGCTGAGTCAGTCTCACTTCCCCTCCACCTCACATGAGCTGGAGCAGCAGCAGCAGGGCTTTCTTGAGCTGCTCAGCTGATGTTTTATGCTTCCATCTCATTTTTATTTCTATACTTTTGGAGCTGGCAGTGATTTTGTGAGTGGTGCCCTTGGCAGCTTCTGGAAATTCTAAGTGTGCTCTAGACCCAAAAAGGCTGGTGACTGCTGACTTAGAGGTTAAGCCCCATACCATCCAATGGGGATTTCTCCCTAGTTAAGTGCATTTAGTATTACAGCGTAATTTTATTTTGTAATTTCATAATTTTGTGTACTGATTCTGAAACAATTCTGAAATATAATGTGTGTGTATAAATGTATACACACACAAATAAGGCACTCACACACCATCAGTATGAATCACTTAAATCTGGAAAAAAAACTTAGTTGATACTAACTCGCAAATTTGAAACAACCAAAAGACTGTGCCAGATACACAGTTTTCCATATCATCTTACCTGTTAGATACACAGGCTTCCTGCCCAGTTTATCTGACAGTTGACCAAACAATATATTTCCAATAAGCAACCCAGCAAAGTACAAGGATGCTGCCAGGCTCACCTTATATGCTTCATGTCTGATTAAATACCACTGTTAAAAACAAAAAAGGACTCTTTTCAGTTAAAACATAGTAACAAACCAGTGACAAGTTATCTAATCTCAGCAGGCCCACTAGTCAGAAACTAGTGTAATGGCAACAGGCACATTAGTCAGAAACAAGTTGCTGCCATTTCCAATGCAGCCAGGAGATTGGTTAGGAAGTGACTGCTGAATCCTTTCTTGGCTTGCTTGCTTGCTTGCATACATACTTGCTTACATACTCCTGAAACTGCTGCTCCCGATTCATTAAACTCCCAGTCAGGCTAAAGTAACATCTACCAAATGAAAGAGGCAGGAACCCTCCTGCCAACCTAAACTGCACTTCAAAATTTTCTCCCACTTTACAGGAAACAGACAAGACCCATATTCTGGCACATGGAACATAAATTTATTCTACCTTCCCACATCAGATTTGAAGTTTAAAGGTAAATTGTTGGTGCACTATATTTCCCAAGCATCTGTTTACAATGCATTTCCTATTATATGTTGGTTTTCTACAAGAGGCTACTTAATACCCACATGGCATGCAAAACTGCCTGGCTGTGAATGAAAAAAGACTATGGTAGAATTGCACAATAGGAACAGTAAAATGCCTTCTACAACCCCCAAGTTCAGAAGCCATCTCAAGAAGAGAGCACAGAAGCATATCCATCTCAGACCATTAGGGACATAGAAGAGCTCCCTGGTCTGGAATACATTTTGGAGTTTTTCGTAGGAAAGAACTGCAATCTGACATTGGTTACTATGGTAACTAGCAAAATATCGAGCTGAATTCATAACGGCTCCTTGTTTAAACAGCTGGCCCTCATATTTCAATGTAATTCTAGGAAGCTACAGATTTAGAGCTCCTGATGAAGTCCTTGATATGTAGGTTAGTGATCAGTACAAGTACAAAAACAAACAACACCATACAATTGGGTGTTAATCCAAGCGGGAAGGTGAGATGAGCTACAGGAACCACCGTTATAAGAAATGAAAATGCAGTTGGATAAAATATTGAAATTAAGAGTGATGCTAAGAACATGTCCAGCATTTTATTAATCTACATTGACATTTCTTATAAGTTTGGTTTCTGTAACTCATATTTTTTTTCTTATTACATCTGTAGTTCTTACCTACATGTTTGGCTCTCACTCAGTTTATAAATGCACAAAATTCAAATACCGATCTTAGCGTGACACACACACACACCCAAACACTAAAACATTTACCAAAGCAATACAAGAGCCAGTTTTCAAAAACTGACATATTACATTTATCAAGCTTTATTATGCCTATTTTTATAATAGTTTTGAAATGAGAAAAACATATACCAATATAATTTTAATACGCTTTGTGAGCCCATCATACCTTCAAGCCTTTGGCAAATTCTTGAACCATAGAATTGTAAGGGACCACGAGGGTCATCCAGTCCAACCCCCTGCAAGGCAGGAAACTTTTGCCCAACGTGGGGCTTGAACTCATGACCCTGAAATTAAGAGTCTCATGCTCTACCAACTAAGCCATCTGGCTAAGATGTATCAGAAGTTTTGACATGACCAAGAACATCCAGTTTATGAAGAACGGACGTTTAACTATCAGGATTTATGTGCAGAATATTATATGATTATTCCAGCAGTGATTTTACCCAGAACACAGAGGTACACCGCTCAAAATAATCATAAGCACTTCCATGCATACATCTGCAAAAGCAGGAATTTTATGATGTTATAAATCACTGAGCAACTTCTCGGTCCCACCATTTCAATTCTCCAGAATGCAATGTAATGTAGCTAGTGTGGTTCCATCCAGATGTTGTTAGACTGCAACTCCCATCATCCCTGGCCATTGGTCATGCTGGCTGGGGCTGATGGAAACTGGAGTCCAACAACATCTGGAAGGTACTACACTGGCTACTGTTTAAGGCTGGAGAGCACAAACACTTGAGTGTACTGTAGTAAAAAGGAAAGCAGAAAATGTATCAATGTTTGCATGTGCTTACAAATCAATTTAAATACTAAGAACACCAACATGAGGCTACTTGGAAGATACTAATTGTGTGACATCTCTTTCAATGATGGGCCCAAATTTAAACAAAATGCTGGTTCCCATAAGAGCAGTCACCTTCAAAGGGTTTCAAGCAGGCTAGTTCCATGTTTAAAGGGTTCATAACCTGAGCACCACCCTTTATGTAAACAACTAGTACATATGTGTACATCTTCCCTGATGGACACAAATCAGTAGCATGCAAGTGCCACATGGATAAGGGCTAGAAAATAATTTAAATGATCCTTAAACATTGAAATCAGGCTAGGCACATGGAACTCTGGATGAGCAAATGCTTTGCACACACCCAATCCCATGCTTTATATAAGCCCTTTCAAATATATAAATGCTGCCTCAAACAATGTTTGAAAGAGATGCACATAGAGGCAGGGAAGCATGGCTAACAAGTAGCAAGAGAAATAATAAGTTTAAAAATAATCTAAAGGTGCACCAGAGAGCACTAAGCCAGGGCCAGAGAAACTATCTGACAATATAACTATCTGACACTTTCTTACATACAATTCCGAGGTGATAAAAATGTAACCTCTATAGCCATAGCTTTTCATCACTGCTTTATTAATTTTATTTCCTTACATTTATTTCCTGCCTCTCTTCTGCCACGGAACTCAAGGCAGCGAACATGTGGTCCCGAGGTGGTCACCCATCCAGGCACTGACCAGACCTAGACCTGCTTAGCTTCAGCAAGGTGGTAGATTTATGTGCCTTCAGACCATACCCTGAGACACAAAAAGAGCACAGACATAGGAGGCTGCCTTATACCAAGTCAGACTTTTAGTCCAAGTAGCTCTGAATTGCCTACTACACTGCCTGGCAGCGGCTCCCAGGGGTTTTTGTAATAATCCTTATTGCATTTGCCCTAAAAACAGTGATAATTATCAGTGGTGAAGCACATTGGTAATGCTGGTAATAGAACCAGATCTAAAAGAATTGCATGTTGTAGAAACAGCTTGCAGACTTCCAAGAAGGCTGAATACAGACTCCGCTTATTAACCAATCTACTAATTTCCTGCTGGGCAAACAGACCAGATTGTTCCTAAGGGAGAAGCAGTATGCATGTTCCAACTTTTGTTTAACTTTCTATGTTATCAACATGATGATTCTAACAAAAGCCCCTTCCCCCCTTCTTGTTCTTTTGTAAAATCAAGTGATTGCTACTAACCTTCTTTTAATGGGCAGCAGGAGTGGTTCAAAAAGTCTAATTTTTATTCAGCAAAAATGAAACAAGCAAGGATATAAAATCATTTCTGCTTTTTAAAAATATGTTTCCCTCTTTAGTAGGAAACATGCACCTGTGGAGCACGAACCTATTATTAAATGTTCTAGATGATATTTGAAGTCAACTGTGATTAATGCAACGTAGGTATCACCATCCTGTATCTCTTGAACCTTAAAACAAAATAACAGGTGCCATCAAGAGCACTGCGTGTGGGGCCACATTCTCTGAGAGCTGGTGCCTTCCTCTGTGGATCTTCCTTTGTGGAGGCACAATTTAAAAGCAATGTGGAACAGAGACTTTTCTACAGTGATATCCACTTTACGGAATGCTCTTCCCAGAGACATCCAGCTAGAAGCAAGCTTCCCTTCCACTGAACGGAGCCTTCTTAAAAAGAAAACAGAACAATGCATATGAACAAAAATTGCCTCCATTTTACTGCTTTAACTTTACTGCTTTTTAAATTGGCAGTAAGGTTAAAACTGCTCTATGTTTAAACTATAGTGGTTCTCAACATAATTTTTTTTTTTTTTGCCTGATGCTGAAATAATACTTTTGAGGGTGCCTGGGTACCTGGAGAGAGCATTCCAAAGGTGATGAGACCACACTGAAAGATTCTCTCATCCTGACTACTACCTGCTGCCCATAATGGCAGCAACTGGAGGAAAGTCTCAGATGACAATCTCAGCCGATGTGGGAGGAAGTAATGAAATAGCTATTCAGGTTCCAATATGCTGAGGTTTTCAGGAATAAGACTAAGACTTTGAACTGGGCTCAGAAACTTACTGAGCAACAGTGTTGTTTTAGTACAGCTGAAATGTGATCTCTTCATCTGGTCCCAGTTGGGAGTCTAGCCATAGTGTTCTTCATTAGCTGCAGTCTTCCATGACAGCCCCATGTAAAGTGCATTGCAGTAGTCAAACTGAGAAGTCACCTAGACATGGATAACTGTGGCCAGACATATTACAAACTACTTCTGAAACTCATCTGTTCCATAAGCAAGGTTGCCAGTGGCAGGAGCAGGAGCACTGCTGTTTAAGTACTATAAACTCAAAGTACCCTGGGACACGTGAAAGAAGAAGCAAAATTCTTTGGATCCTAAAAAATACAGACAACAAAAGAGAAGAGATCCAACAGCAAAAGACACTCAAAATGCCCACAGCAGTATTTGACTGTACATTAAACAGACTAATTAGGATTGTGAGACTTTTAAAATACATAAATGTAAATATGTGGTGAAAGTAACACTATGACACTTTCATTATAAAAGGGTTCAGATTATACTGTAGTAAATTCTAAGCCTTGAAGAATTAGAATTAACAAATTATTTTTACTCAGGGGAGTAGTACTTACACGTTGAACGGCATAAGGAGAAATGTTGGAACTATGAAACACTAAAGATTAGAGCACTAGTTCAAGTGACTTTTTCTTTAGCAGTGAATTCCATGTTCTCATTTAAAAAAGAATTGCAACATACACACAAGCCTAACCTGTTCTTTTCTTCCAAGGTTTTAAGAGGCAGCATCCTATATTGAAGCCATATGGGCAAAATAAGAAACCTAAAAAATAGAAAAGAATGCTAAGAAACAGCAGCAAAATATACTTGCCTCTGTTGCTATGGATGTGAAGTTGCTGGTAAACCTGACGTGTTTTGCAAGAGCCTCCCTACTAGTACTAGTTTGAATCTCCTCCAGGTCGAGATGATATTCCGGCACTGCTCCCACTAGCACAATAAGCATAGATTGAAAGGCCACAAACACCTTAAAAGCAAAACAAGGAGAGTTTATTTAGAGCGATCAGTGAGATAAATAAATAAATACACATGCCAGGTCCCAACACTCAGTCATGCTCTGGTGTGACCAAGAAACAGAACCCAGTATAGAGTTGTACAGATAGGAAAAACTGAATTTAGCTCCTACATCTATTGCATCTAGGCCTTTTTACTGCCTGCCATACATATGATTGGTTGCTATTTCATTTTTATGGAACCAAGTAAAGCACTGTACTTGAGACCACTGTTTCTGTAAAGGCAAGATCTGATGCTTGCTGGACTTTCTCTCACTGACAAGAATCCTGCAATGGGTTCTATTGTGTAGCTGACCACACAGGCAGTATGCAATAATCTTCTACTTCACAAACACACTGGCCATCAAAACAATTAGCATCTTCCAAATGTTCATACAAAGGCATTCCAACAACAACAAAAAAGACTAATTATTTGCCACTGAGTGAATCTACAGCCCCATGCACATGGAGTTTGTCCCACTGGACTTAGCTTATGCCTAAGATCACACAGTTTGAAATGCCTGGCAATTTAAAACTTGTAGGGTATGGTAAAATCTCCTGTTCTATCTATTCTTAAGGACGGGGTGGGATTTGGGGGTCTTGAAAATCTTCCTTAGTAATATACTTTTTATTATATTCAATGACGTGAATTTTCCATTATCATATTCAACAGCTCTTTAATCAGTGTTTAGTATGTAAGAAGCTCTCCAAGTTTTTAAATAATCTTTCAAATTATGGAAATGATAATGCAGTATCCCCAAGTCATGACAGCAGTGTTGTACAGTGGTACCCCGCAAGACGAATGCCTCGCAAGACGGAAAACCCGCAAGACGAAAGGGTTTTCTGTTTTGGAGGCGCTTCGCAAGACGAATTTCCCTATGGGCTTGCATCGCAAGACGAAAGCCCATAGGGAAATGCTGGCGGTCGGGAGCAAAGACTTTCGCCCACAGCCGGCCTTCAGAAGAGGACCTCTTCTGAAGGCCGGCGGGGGGCAAAAGTCTTTGCTCCCCCCCGCCTGCCTTCCCCCCGCCTGCCCGGGGCGATCTTAAAATGCTGGCGGGCGGGAGCGAAGCGTTCGCTGCCGACCCCCAGCATTTTAAAATCTCCAAGGGACAGCAGAGAAGTCTCTGTCCCGGGGAGATTTTAAAATGCTGGGGTCGGGAGCGAAGCGTTAGCTGCCGACCCCCAGCATTTTAAAATCTCCCCCTGTCCCGGGGAGATTTTAAAATGCTGGGGGTCAGGAGCGAAGCGTTCGCTGCCGACCCCCAGCATTTTAAAATCTCCCCGTGTCCCGGGGAGGTTTTAAAATGCTGGGGGTCGGGAGCGAAGCGCTGCCGACCCCCAGCATTTTAAAATCTCCCCGTGTCCCGGGAAGGTTTTAAAATGCTGGGGGTCGGGAGCGAGGCGCTGCCGACCCCCAGCATTTTAAAATCTCCCCGTGTCCCGGGAAGGTTTTAAAATGCTGGGGGTCGGGAGCGAAGCGCTGCCGACCCCCAGCATTTTAAAATCTCCCCGTGTCCCGGGAAGGTTTTAAAATGCTGGGGGTCGGCAGCCCGACCCCCAGCATTTTAAAACCTTCCCGGGACACGGGGAGATTTTAAAATGCTGGGGGTTGGCAGCGCTTCGCTCCCGACCCCCAGCATTTTAAAACGCTGTTCCGAAGGGGGGGGTGGGGACACCTGCCCCAGCCGCCCCACTTCGGAAAGCTGTTCCGAAGTGGGGAGGGGGGCGGGGACACCTGCCCCAGCCGCCCCACTTCGGAAAGCTGTTCCGAAGGGGGGAGGGGGGGCGGGGACACCTGCCCCAGCCGCCCCACTTCGGAAAGCTGTTCCGAAGTGGGGAGGGGGGGCGGGGACATCTGCCCCAGCCGCCCCACTTCGGAAAGCTGTTCCGAAGCGGGGAGGGGGGGCGGGGACACCTGCCCCAGCCGCCCCACTTCGGAAAGCTGTTCCGAAGCGGGGAGGGGGGGCAGGGACACCTGCCCCAGCCGCCCCACTTCGGAAAGCTGTTCCGAAGCGGGGCGGGGGGCGGGAACACCTTCTGAAGGCGGGCAGGGGGCGAAAGTCTTTGTCCCCCCTGCCTGCCTTCCCAGGGGCTTTTAAATCGCCCCGGACAGCGGAGAAGTCCTCCGCTGTCCGGGGCGATTTTAAAATGCCGCCCGCCAGCATTTTAAGATCGCCCGGACAGTGGAGAAGTCCTCCGCTGTCCCAGGGTTTTTTAAAATGCTGGGGGTGGGAAGAAAAGCCCTTGTTCCTCCCCCCCAGCCTTCAGAAGAGGTCCGGGGACAGACTGTCCCCGGACCTGGTCTGAAGGCGGTTTCCCTAGGAACGCATTAATTGATTTTCAATGCATTCCTATGGGAAACCGTGCATCGCAAGACGAAAAAACCGCAAGACGAATAGACTTGCGGAACGAATTAATTTCGTCTTGCGAGGCACCACTGTAGTTACATCTTAATCTCCATTAAAAGATCACATCTCCTTTTCCACATATTATTTTTTGTGGCCTTTAACAACAGTGGAACTCAAAGCAATCATACAACAAGCCCACAACTTACACTCTTTCCTAAATTATGTAGTTAAAACCCATGGGTTCAATGGTGGGTTGGATTGCCAAAGTCATTTTCCTGGAACCTCGTCCTCCTCTGCCCCTTTTAATTTTTTTGCCACCTGCCTGAAGCTGAATGCGCACAAGTTAAATGAATGTAAATTGTGGGCTTACTGTATCTAGAGTAGCCCAGCATACATCCACTAATCAGAACCATAACATAACATTTGTGCCAGGGTAATAACCATGTTATTAATATTACTTTGAACACCATTACAACTTGGGAATGATAAACTAGAAATGCCATCTTCAAAAGATTTTATTTATTTTTAAATCTGTATACCACCCTTCATACACAGATTTCAGGGAAGTTCACAACATAAAAACACAAGATAAAATCAACAAGTGACTTCAAAATCTTAAGCAGCACTTTTCTTGGGGGGGGGCGAGTTGGTCAATTAGTAGAGGGGGGATAGGTCATCAGCCTTTTCTTCTCCCCAAGATATTGCTCATGGCTGCGGAGGTTTAGCACCAATGTTTTCCTTCTCCAAACGGGCTACTTTCTCAGGCTGACAAGCCTCTCCGCAGCACGTGCAGAGCATGAGACTCTTAACCTCAGGGTTGTGGGTCGGAGCCCCACGTTGGGCAGGAGGTTGGACTAGATGACCCTCAGGGTCCCCTCTACAATTCTATGAAATATTCCACAGGGGGAGGTCTCTCCCCTCTCCACACACCCAGCGCCCCGGAGGGCGAGTCCTGCTGGTCAGGTGCTTCCAAAGGAAGTAGCATCCTTCTCACCAGCAACTGCGTTGCAGGAACAAGCGACGTCGCTCCCTCTGAGCCCCCCCCCCCAAACTCAGCATCCTCCCTCGGGAGGCGCCACCAACCTCCACGAGGCAGCGCAGCCGCTTCCTGCCTGCCCCGCCCGCGCCCAGGTCCACGTAGCGCCCTGGCTGTTGCCTTGGCAACGCACGCCACGCGCCACACACCCCGTGACAAAAGGGGCTGAGGCGGAGGGAATTATGGGGGCAACCGCCATCTGGCCGGGCGGGGGAGGAGGAGCCGGGCGGGCCCCGCGCGTCGCCCCCACCTGCAGCAGCACCAGGAACGCGGTGAGTCGCTTCTGCCTGGGGCCGAACTCCCCCACCAAGCCGAAGGCCTCGTCCAAGTCCATGGCTCCGCCGGGCCTCTCCGAAGCATCCCCGTCAGAGAGAGCGAGCGAGCGCCGCAGGGCCTCGAGCGCTCCTGCGCTAAGCGGTCGCCGCCGCCGTCCAAAGGTGGTGAGGTGGCCGAAGTGTGGGGGAAGGAGGAAGAGAGAAGCGGTTCCTAAGCGACCTCTAGCGGCGGTTGCTGACAGGACAATGGCGAGCCGTTTGGGGGCGGGGCTAGGACGCCGCCACTCTCATCCCCGCCCCGCCCCTTTTCTCCCCGATTCAGCCGCAAGGATCAAAGTAGGCAGGAGCGAGGGAGGAGTGGCCTGAGAGCGCAAGGGTTTCTGGGACAAAAGGGTGCTAATGGGACAGCGCCTGCGCGGAATTATGCGATTCTCTTGTCAGCCTCTTCCTGAAGCGGGTCCAATGGAGTTCACGTGTTCATTTGTAAAGTGCACACACAAAAGAGGACCTGGCATATAGGTTTAACATCTAATCTGAAGAAATCCTAAAGTAATAATAATAATAATAAGACTTGGTTCTAGGAACTCCCATACATCACATAAGAACACTAAAATTTGTATATGCCGATTTCCATGTATAGA